ATGTACGCGGCTCGTAAAATTGGAACTGAGTGGAAATTTCTTTCGCCGGCTAATCCTTTCGAGATGAATTTTTTTTAACTATGAACGCAATGTTATATAGTAGTATAAGATTATAATACGCTCAAATTTGAAAAAATATGGATTAATCCTGCTTTTTTAAATGCGATGTGTAGTTTCATTCATAATAGGATTTTATGTCCAATGAACTTCACAATGGTATCAGGACAATTATAACAATCCTCTTAAAAGTTGCATTGTAACACATCATGACATTAATCTCATGACGGTTAGATATTACGTGAATACTGTATTTTGAATATTTCACGTATCTTTCCACACTGTATACACATACTCTGCAGTTTTTCACCTTTGAACTCGGAAATGCATAAAATTCCACGGTCTACTTATCGACGTCTTTAAATGCAAATGTTCGAAACTCTTTCAATACAGATGAAAAGTTGAAAGAAATTTAAGAAGAAAATTTCCCTTGTGTCGAGAACCATCTAGCTCGTCACGAATTGAGCACGAATTAAGATTAAAATCGAGAAAAGTAAGAGAGAAAATGAAAAGCGATATATTATGAGAAAGTAGCAATTATTGAAAATAACTGATTTGAGAATTAGTATAGAAGTTCTTAGGTTGCTATCAAAATTGCATTAACTGCGCGGTAAATGACTCGATTAAATTAATAAATATTAAATATAATATTAAAAGATCAAATATATTAAATACTAAAGTCGATAAATGAAGGATACCTCTACCAATTTCCAGTCTCAACTGAATAAATATAAAGTAAAAGAGTTGCATAGTTTGTATAATAAATCAACGCCGTATTGCGAACTTATTGCAGAAGGCTATTTTTCATACAACTGAGTTCATTTATCCATTCATGAGCTTAGTTATAACTAGATCGTCAGATTAGTCTCAATTTAAACAATTTTTGGAAAGATCCCCAAATCTCGTTAACTTAAATTAACTAAAATTAATCAAATCCAACTAATAAATTGCTTTAAAGCATGAGTTAAAATAGTTTTAATAGGGAACACTACTGATTAATTAGATATGTAATAATTAATATCATAACATTCTCAAACGTTACGCGTTATTAGGTACCCCAGAGAATCTATATTTCGCTTTGAATTCAATCATCTTGGTGAAATTGCACTTTGCTTTTCTAGTCAATTAATGCGGCGGTCGATCCGCTCGCACCTAATGCGTGCAGTTAAGTGTAAATTCCATGTTCCTACCCAGAAGGCATTTAAATCGCCCGGTTGAGTTCACCCTCTAATCCCATTAGTCTTGCTTCACACTATAGGGCTAACTCTTCTATTAAACAAGAAAAAAAAACGCATAGCTTTACTAACGTAAAAAAGCAAGAAGACGTAAATAAAACACAAAGGTTCAAGGCCTTGTCAATAAATGCAGCGGAATTAATAAACAAAGCTAGATTATTTGCATCACTCTGTTAACACGAGGTAAATCTCTTCGTTCGAAATGTTGATACTACCTGAATATTACATTGGTACCGAACATTAGTTTGCACGGTAGCAAATTGAAATTGAAAGAATGAAATGTCGTATTATATCTGCTATCTGTTGCATTTCTCGTCAGTACAAAAACAAAGTTCGGGTCGGTGTTACCACGACTAATTTTTTAAATTTACATCGTAACACAAAATTACTATAAATTTACCGTGTATCGTGAACACAATTTAACACCACATAGCAATAATCAGATAAATTATAGTAACTTCATAAAATGTAAATTATTGAAATGTAAATTACTTAAAAGTGAAATATTCGTAAGACTTCAACAGGAGAAATGCAAAACTGATATCGTGTTTGCATCTATTCAAAGAAGAAAATTCCGAGGATTAAATAACAGCAAGATTTCCAATTGCGATGGCTAGCCGACGTTTGATATCTCACGCGATTTACGAGAAAATTCCATAACGAAGTTCCAACACGTCTGATCGATATTCAATTTATACTTTGTACATTCATAATTTCGACAAATTCATTTTTCACAAAATCATATTTCCCAATTATCCACAGAAACAGCGTTAAGGTATATCTTCTTTCAAATTCAAATCTCCGATAAGTTCTTTTTCACATATACACGAAGAAGAGATGAAAGCATGGTGAATCAGAAGAAAGTAAAGGAAGCTTATGCAGCGAAACATGCATGTCGAGGAATTTTCGTGCGTGGATCGATAAGAATAAACTACTGGTACCTCTGAAGACCCCGCGGGGTACAATCACGAAGTAGTGGGGGACAGCCTCACACGGGTACCGGCGGCATGTCCTGATGACGGTCCTTCCAGACGGTCGACGACGACGGAGGGTTGGGATTTGGGGGGCAGCAGTCACCCCACCGGAGCGAGGTCTTCTGGGAGGGGCTATTCCTTGTTCTAAACGCGAGGCCGCCCATGGGCACTGATGGCCATCGATTTTCACCCAACTCACCAAGCGTGCTGCTACTCTGCTGCTGCTTTTCCTTCCTTCTCGAAATTTTGCTTCGCCTATGGCACTGATACCGATCGTGTCGATCAGTACAGTTCTTCACCTGAAATACATCGAGCTGGATCCTCCTAGGTACGTATACGCGTTTCTTCCAAAATAAAAAAAAACGAGACAAGTGTGACAGTGGAGAACGAACTTCTTCTGTCGTCCAATCTGATCTGCTTGAAGAGCTACCGAATAATCGCATTACTTTTACTTGAGAATATTCTTAGACGAGATCGGTTTCGCACGAGACACCAAGATATTTTATAATTTCAACGTTCCAATAATATCTGTAATAATTTGAATAGCGAGTATCAATTTTTCATATCGACTTATTATTAACTTATTTCGATTTATTTTACTGTTAAACGGCACCACGATAATAAATGTTATACTTGTACGAACGTAACCAGGAAATACCATAACCGCGTGTATATGTAGAGAGTACACCTCATGTAACACAGATAAAACCAGGCACTAGTCGGTAATTCTTTTTTCCTTCTGGAGAAGCCGGATAGACGAACGTTTCTTCCTTTTGCGTTTCATAAATACCTACAAGGTACGGAATCGATAGATCGCACTACCTTGGCCGGTAGGTAACGGTATCACGCATTTATGTCACCAACTGAACAACAACAGCAGACAACGCGGAAATGAAATTGGTCGCGTATACACAAAACAACTCTACCTCGGTTCAAAGCCATCAACGGGGGTCTATGAAAACCTCATTCTTCAAACAAGCTATTGAACTGCAGACTTGAGAAAAACGTACTTACAGGTGCACCAAACGATGTTTGTGATCTTCGAACGTCTTTCTACCACTCGCGCACGTTGCAAGCGTCGCAGGTGAAGAGCGGTCCGTGAACAATTCGACGGCTTCTTGTCGATCACTGTCGCGCGTCGACCATTCACAGTTACGTGAAACTTGTTCGAAAACGATAGAACAACCATGAAAAAGCAAGGAATCGCGCGAAGGAAGATGATAAGGTGGATACGAGAACCTAACGAAGAAACGTGACGGAAGTAGCAGAGGATGACGAGCAACGAGTGCAATGCCCGTGACAGTTGTCCTCGTCCTCGTCTTCCTCTTTGTCGTCGTCGCCGTCGTTGCCGTCGTCGTTCTCGTCAGAACGACGCG